GAGAAATGATCTTAGAACAAATTTAGGACGGTTTATACGACCACTATCGTAACCAGAGCTGAAGTGGAAAACGTCGCCTCAGGAGGTTCTGCAGCATACGCCGCCACCTCCGTAGCATCCGAAATGGGCACCGCCACCTCTGGAGGTTCTGCAGCCCCAGCCGCCACCTCTGGAGGATCTGAAGCGGCACTGCCATTTCTGGAGGTTCTGCAGCCTCAGCCGCCCCCTCTGGCAATCCTTCCGCAGACGTCGCTGGCTCTGGAACTTCAGCGGTAGTGAACGCAGCCCATACACACCAGAAAGCAATCCCCCATATAGGAAATGCAGCAGACAAGGGGATTACTTCTGGGACAGACGGGTTTGAGACCACTGGTTCAGGGATACCAGCTGCACATACTGACACCAGCGGTGGGTCCTCCATGCTGGATGCCAGTCTGGGATACTGAAGAATAGTCCTTGAAGATCTGGGTGCAACAGACAGGAAGTGACCAGACTCTGGACGAACAGCTGAGACGTGATGAGACTCTGGAAGATCAGCTGAGACGTGACGTGATTCTGGACGTGACTCCAAACAAACAGATGTAACTTTACTTGACTCATGAAGAGCAGCTGTGACTTGACTTGACTCAGGAATGGCTGCTGAGACATGACGGGGCGTTGTTATGGCCACCATTTTGTGAGTGCGAACTGGTGCGTCCACCATCTCAGTCACAGACGCGGTGTCGCGTTCCTCCTCCGCGACACCCACAGTGAATGAAGAGCCAACACACAACAAAGCATAGTCCATAAACTGACAGAGTGATGAACGCGGACCCCTTTCGTCTAAGCTTAGACTTCAGTGGTTGATTAATGCCTTCGCAAAAAAACTCTATCAACACACATTCCAGTAAATCAGAGTAATATGCAATGGCTAGATACTCTTGAATATAGTCATCGAGCGGTCTTGCAATGTCCATACCTGGCCAATGTTCATCCAAGAAGGTGCTGGATCCTTGTGAGACTGAGTATTCTGTAACGGAGTGACAGAGACGTGAGACGTGTGGATCCATAAGCAAGCTTTTATTAATAAACATGGTCAAAACACAGGCAAGGGTCGGACCATGGCAAACAGGTATTTAGAGGGCAAGTAATCCAATAAACAGGCGTAGGTCGATCAACGGCGAACATAATCCAAAGGATGAGGCAAGCGAGTAATCCACAGACAGATAATAATCCAGGCGAGGTACGAACAGAATCCAAACAACAAGACGAGAGCGAAATCCAAGACAGGCAGGTTATCAGGAACAGACAATCAGGCAAAACTAGACGTTACGAAGAACTAGAACTAGGAACTAGACTAAACTCAGACAGGATACTGGCTCCGTAAAGTGCTACCACTAGGAGAGTGATAAAAGCAGACAATACTCAGCACTGAATAGTGGTTGGAGCCTCCTATTTATGGTGTGTGTGAATTGGCCTCAGGTGAGAGTGCCAATCAGTGAAGTGAAGCATGGGAAATGTAGACCGGGGTGACATGTAACAGTCTGTGTGGTGTGAATGTCTATGTAATCGGAAGGCGGCCTCTGGTGGCGAGCAGACGGAAGACCACTGACCGGATTCGTGACAGTATAGGCTACATGACTTTACAAACATTTTACATTAAATATCATTCAGTGTCTATTTCAATGCGCAGCAGCTTTTTCCACATAGTCTAACACTCTTTTCACATAGGCTAATTAAATATTCTCTAATCCAACCTGTTACATTTCTTAATTAGAGAAATGAAATTAACAACTGACTTGTACTCAGTGGACAGCAAGATGGTAGAGGCTCTCAAAATGGGGGGAGGACCTGCAGCATCAACACTGACAGATGAAGAGGAGATGGTCAAGTATTGGAAGAATTTTAAAATCCAAAAGGAAAAAGCATAACGGTTGCTTTTGTATTTGTAGGAAATAAAGATGACCTAATAAATTGTGAATAATTGGTGTTTATTTAGCAGGTGTGGTTGTGGTTACGGCATATATCTCGGCCTACCCTTCCATCTGTCATCCTCTGATTCATTTTCAGACGGTGCGATGGTGGGAATATGGGTGTCATCAGTGCATCCAACCACACTGGAAATCCTGAAGGAAGTTCTAATTATTAGTGGATTACTTCCAGAGGTTGCAGCAAGATGTTATCAAGTGAATGTCATTTATCAGATTAGCAGACACCACTGACCTACAGTCCAGAGAAACTCCTCTTTGACGAATTTGTGCCCAGGAAAAAATTCTCAGAAAGAGCGTGAGAGCGACGCACACTTTCCTTATCGGTCTGCATACAGCGGCCTTATAATGTGCTCTGCATCTCTGATGTTTTAAAGAAAACTACCATTTAAAATGGTACTAAAAGGGAACTAATTTAAGTGCATTTTTCTTATTTTGCAAATTATCTTAGCAGGTGTGTGGTTGTGGTTGTGCAAAATATCTAAAGGGGGGGGGGGGATAATTTAAGTGATTTAACTAATTTAACTAATTAAATTATCTGCCAATGTGGTAAGAAATTTAAAATATTATTTTTTCCGTTTGCATTAAGAATATTTTTCTTACTATATGGCAGACAATTTTAAATGTTTTACGTAAAATGCACTTAAATGCACTCGTTTCCCCAACAAGACTAAATATCTTCATCTATAGAAAATGCATCTTAACTAAAGAATTTTTAGATATTTGTACTTGAAATAAGACAAAGATACTCAGTAAGAAAAGCATTTTTGCAGCGTGAATGAATGAATGGGGTATTAAACATCGCTTATGCTTTAAAAAGGGGGAGGAGACCGAAAGAAACTCTGGGTTTACCGAAGAAAAACTGCTCCCGACCAGGTTAAGTTCACAGAGTAAGTTACCATGGTAACTGATTCTGAGTATAAGTTACCTCTCTTTCAGAAACGAGCTTGACTTACCCTGATTTCTTGGGTTTGACAAACCACCCATTTTGAAATGGAAAACTCAGAGTTTCCCTCATTTCCGGGTTAACAAACTAAGAGTTTTCACTTAACCTCCTTTCTGAAATGGGCCCCAGTTCATGTGCCGCTTGAACAATACAGTGATCTGTCACGACACATTAAAGAGCCACAAAACAGTATTTATTGTTTGAATTTCTTTAAAAAATGACAAAATTTGAAAGCTGAGACCTTGTTTCGTAACAGAAGTAACCTGCTCATTGTTGTCTGTCAGTGTGTTGTCAGTTTGCTCTTTACTCCATGATGTATTTTTTACTGCATGAGAACATGATGTGTAGTGTGAGAGCGGCATTAGTTTGTTGGACATAGCAACAGTAATTAAGGAGGGTGGGTTTTTGCAAACAGTCAATTGCGTCTAATAGTGATGGGACGATTGATACCGAGGCTCCGATGCTCCGACACAGTTTTCAAAGCACTATTGTATCACACACTGTGCCGATGCTTGTATCGAAATGACAATACCACGTGATTGATGACGTTTGAAGCTTCGAAAGTCATGCAGTATCGGAAGGTCGGGACAGCTGGTTTGAAAAAAATCGGCACTTCGCATGACTCTTGTGTTTGATTTACATTGACTTGGTTGTGTGTGTGTGTACACTTATTTGGGATTCAGTAGAATAGTTTAGAATAACCTCAACACCAGACAGGAACTGAATGCACGTCACACCTCTATTGCATTTTATCATGTCCTAGCTGGGGTCTCAGAGACCCCGAACACCTCACCCAAAATATTTTTGCTACTACTCATGCCAGTTTATGAATTATAATCACACACTTGTATATTTTATATTATTGAAAGCCTCGGTTTCCCATCACTAGCGTCTAAACCTCTCTACTTAACTGTAGGTCGTGCACATCCCCCATGTTTGCTTCTCTTTTATTTTTAGTTTTTATGTAGTTTTTTTTTATGTATGTAGTTCTGAACTGAATCCTTCACTAAAAAAAGCAATGGATTGTGGACAATATTAGCCATAGATTGTGCACAGGTCCACACTTCAAAAATCTACCTGAAATAATGGAACATCCAGGGACTTTTGGCACACTCTGTTCAACATACTATGCTTTGGGAAACTCTTATTCTCATCTCACATACTATTTAGGATGGATAGTATGAACATTGGGATGCATGGTCAGTCAGAAGGCAGTTATTCTCTGGCTAGAAAGTGAACCTCTTTAATCCTGCCCAGGTTTAATGATTTTCAAGCTGTGCGTGCTTACTGATTACAAAATAATGAGTTAACGAGCTGTCCAGGTGGCACAAATTGTTTTCTGTTTGGCTTTAAAAGTCCTGGTTTGGTTGGAACTATATGTAGAGTTAGTTTGGCTGTCTCAGTGGTTAAGTTTGTGGTAAAGAATGGGCTTGATTAAACTTACTCTTTTGGTGTTTCTTTATCACCAGTTGGTATGGCAAGGTGAGTTTTAATATTTTATTCTTTGTTTGGTTGCAGGAATTAATTAAGTTTGTTTCAATATGTGTGTGTTCTCTCAATATTAGTGATTAGAAGAGCCAATCATTTTATTGACTCCTGTTTGGTCTCATTCATCAAAATGAATTAATTTGTTTGTTTTTTTTCCTCCAAAAGTAGCTTCACTTGAGGTTTTTTTGTTTGTTTTTTTTTTTTTTTTTAAATGGTTAAATTCCCCAAACACATCTCCCTATGCAGTTTTGTTCATATTCCGAAACTTGCAGCTTTTATAATGCAATAAAATAACTCGAAAAATGTTAGTTACTTAGGCTCCCAAGTCTCTTGTTCATTTGTCATCACTGCTCTGTATTCAGCTCCATAGCTTAACATGGCTCTGTTATTACGAGATTCTTTCAGTTTAAGAAACTCCAAACATCACATCACTCCAGGAGTAAAATAATTTGTTAATACATTTTTTCTACATTAAATCTGAGTTAATCACTTTGTTCTCTCTACAGACAATTTGTTGAATGGACACAGTAACTTGGTTGGTGCATCTATTTCTGTCCCCCTGCGAAACACCTTGAGTCAGGATGATGAGTCTGGTTCAGCTAACGCCACCTTGAGTCAGGATGAGGAGTCCGCTTCTAACGCCACCTTGAGTCAGGATGAGGAGTCCGCTTCTAACGCCACCTTGAGCCAGGATGAGGAGGCCGCTTCTAACACCACCTTGAGCCAGGATGAGGAGTCCGCTTCTAACGCCACCTTGAGTCCTTCTGATGAATATGTTTCAGGTGCTGTCTAACCAAATAAAAATCTGTTTTTCAATGGTTTGTCTTGTTCAGTGTGAATTTTTCCAGTTTCTTGAGTGCAAAGAGCCTTGTATAGCTGCTTTTAATGGGGTGTTTTTTTTTTTTTTTTTTTTTTTTTTTTTTTCTTTTAGAAATACCATGTGGGGGGAATTTATCCAAAATTAGAGGTATTACTGTCTCATCTCAAAAGTCTTCTGAGCAAATTCACAAAAAAACAAATGCTGCTCCCAACATCACAATCCAGCAACTCGACTGGTTCTAAGCTGTGGATGTAAGAGTTCTAGAACATCATGAGCAGTAGTGTAATTCTCTGATCTATGATGCAGAAACCTGAGCGAGGTGAGATGGGATCAGTCCGTCAGGTGTGGATGTCCCACTGTTCTGTGACAGAGACAGAGTGCCTGTTCTGGACCCGTTCAACCTCGCAGGACGCGTGACGGCTCTCAGACAGTCTGGAGGGAGCATTTGAATTTTACACCTGGAAAGAAGCAGCCTATCATTAAAAAACTCTAATTTCTGTGTCAGGTAGACTTACAGGTAATCAATCACCTTGTCACTGTTTTTTCCCCTATTTGGTCTCGTTTTCAACCTTTCAAGACAATTCTTTCTAATTAAATTTGTTGCTGAGTTGAAGAGAAAGGAAAACGTCTTGTTTTATGATTAATCTACATTTTGTTCTCTCTCCACCTCAGGTACTTTGTTACAAAGAATAAAGTGCTATTCTTTTTTTTTTTTTTTTTTCCCTTTCCTAGTTGGTCACTTCTGGTATGTTGCTGTTACTAATTCTGCCTAATGTAATTGTAGAAACCTACTTTCAACACTTCATGTGTGCTTTAATGCAAGTTCTTGGAGTCACTAATGTATTAATCCAGAAAGTGGTCACATTTGTTTCTTTGAGAAATGCAGGTTTACGTACCCACTGCTAGACTGTAACAACAATCCATTCGGACAAGTTGAGCTTGCAGGAATTGTGCGTTCTGAATGTTGGTGTGAACAATTTTGCAGTTTAGTCAAGTAGCCTTTATATACTGCTTTATACAATACAGGATTTCAAAGTAGTTTAGCAGTGTTAAGAAAATGATTTGACCTTTTGTAAACAATGTAGTTATGTCGTAAAGCAGCTCTAAAAGACAGTAGCAAACGATCATTATTCAGTTGAAACCAATTCATTGTTGATCCAGTGTGGTTCAATAACGGTCTAAAGTCCATCAGTTATGGAATGAGTTAAAAGCAGCCCTTGAAAAAAGTGATGTCGTCATTAGCTCAGTTCAGTTCTGCTAAATTCTGAAAAATACAGAGGTTTTAATTTATTGGACCAAAGTCCGTCCACATGTAATCTAGAACCCTGTCTAACACTTGATGACTGCTCTCAATTCTTATCAGTTTGGAACCTAGGCATGCAATTTGATAGCAAATCTGCAGCAAAGCAATGCTACCTCAGATCATTATCTAGTCTTGTGCAAACTCTATATAGCTAAAACTGTAAATTCTACTTGTTACAAGTATGGTAGAACCATCACTTCTACCACAAAAGACAGCTTTGTAAGTAATCTTCCTGATTTATCTCAATTTCTCAGCATATCCAATAGCTCAGAACAACTTGATGTAACACAAACTATGGACTCTCTCTTTTCTAGCATTTTAGATACGGTTGCTCCTTTACGCTTAAGGAAGATTAAGGAAAACAGTCTGACACCGTGGTATAATGAGCACACTCGCACCCTAAAGAGAGCAGCC